AGGGGAAGGCTCTGCAAACAACAGTTTTGATTCAATTTCAGCACCCTTTCACCATAACTAGTGATACTGGCTCACCGCCGGAACTATGCAGTATAAGTCTAACCTAGCCAGACCAACCTTTTTGGCAAACAACTGACTATGAAAAAATACACACAAATAAACAAATGAATACGTATGAATCGGTACAGGTACGAAGACGTCATATGCGTGGACAATACCCGTGTAATACTGAAGGAAAGAGGACCGGATGATGATTATATTCATGCCAGCTGGATGGATACGCCGGATGGACAAAGATACATTTGTACTCAGGTTCGCCACGCACCAGTTCTTAAGGGTCGTGACAAGATGTGAAAAGAGGCCAGAAGGGTTAATCTTGGAGAGTAATAGTCTAACAAGGGGGTAGTTCAAGTGTGCCAAGCTTTTTCACAATGGTTTCTTGCATGACATTGTGGCACATGTGGGAACCACAGAGCCATGGTCCGTTTCTCCTGAACGGCCCTCTAAATACCAAAAAAGAGGGTCCCTAGTTCGATCCCTCGTGGTGACAAATTTTTGCATATTTGCACAAGTGAGTGTAAGCATCCTACTATATATAAGCGGCTAGCGTGTGTCTGTTGGTGTGTGTGTGTGTGTGTGTGTGTGTGTGTATGTTTGAACGGAAATTCATAGCTCGAGTCACAGTAACGATAGCGCAGTGGTTCTTACATATGTTATAGGGGGTGGGATGGGGACACAAGTGGTACGTGATAGGAACTGATAACGACTGATAATAGCTGATAAGAGGGGCTAGAAAGCGAGCATCGCCAATTTCGTTTTGCCGTTCATATTGGTAAGAGAGCGTCTATACTTACAAGTCTTATGTGGGGCGGTCCCGGAACATTGGTGGTACATGATTGGAAGCGATAGCAACTGATAATGGCTGATAAGATGCGCTAGAACGCAAAAGTCGTCGATTCCGTTGCCTGGCTCGCCGTTGACACCAGAGCAACCATACTTACAAGTGTTATGTGGGTGGGACGGGGACATTGTTGGTAGTGGGTGCCAGAAACTGATAACGATTGATAAGGGCCGATAAGGCGCGTCAGAGCGCTGAAGTCGTCGATTCCATTGTCTGGCTCGCCTTGACACCAGAGCAACCATACTTACAAGAATTATGTGGGGTGGGACGGGGACATTGTTGGTGGGTGCCAGAAACTGATAACGTGATTGAATTGCAGAGGGCGATACGGCGCGCTTAGGAATGGCTGAAAGTCTTTCGGTAGTCATTGCTGGACTCGCGTGACACCTTAGATGCACCATACTGTACAAGTTGGTATTAGTGTGGGGTGGGACGGGGACATTGTTGGTGGGTGCCAGAAACTGATAACGATTGATAAGGGCCGATAAGGCGCGCCAGAACGCTGAAGTCGTCGATTCCGTTGCCTGGCTCGCCTTGACACCAGAGCAACCATACTTACAAGTGTTATGTGGGGTGGGACGGGGACATTGTTGTGGGTGCCAGAAACTGATAACGATTGATAAGGGCCTGATAAGGCGCGTCAGAACGCAAAAGTCGTTAGTTCCGTTACGCAGCGTTGACACTAGAGCGTTCCTACTTACAAATTGTAGTAAGTCGTAGTAGTACAAACAAAGGTACGTGCACATTATTTCGATATATATCCAGCTTACTTAATAGAATTCGACTGCATAAATTTTAAAAAACAAGTCTTCAGCAAATGATAAGTTTCATTTCTGACTATTAAGAAAACCCAAACTCATTAAACCGCTAATCCTTTCGTGGTTCTAAATAATGATGAATGTAAATGAATGATAAGCATTAGCTCCTCACTTATGTAAATAGGCATATTTCGTTTTGATTTTGAGACTGACAGCAATCCTATTCACCGCTAAATTATCTTAATTCAAGAAAAATGCTGGATGTTTACAGTTGTGATCAATATACCAGTTCAGCTCAGACGTTATCACGCGTATTCTCGATGAGCTTCAGTGAAACTGTGGAGGGTCTAACACAGTCAATAGTGAGATGGTTAATGGAGTATCTCATGCTGATATTCCATGGGTCCTCCAATTTCGCTAAAGCCTGCCGTGTGATGCGCGCGATAGCGGGCGAAGCAAAACTGGTAATAATAATTCATATTCATAAGTACGGACCATCAAAACCCTAATATTAGGTTGTCTCATAAACAGTGTCGCTTTTTTTCATCCAAAAAATTTTCATCTAAACCTCCATGCTTTTACATCGTGTTGTGTACCATTCGAAAGAGAATTGTCTGCTCTACAAAATGCTATGTCCTCACTTCCACATTTCTTCCAGGGTTTTCAAATTTTGGGCCTGTGAAATGGGAGGTCCGGCCGACAAAAAATGGCCAAACCGACAACTATCTCTAACATTATCTTTCCTTGGGAGAAATCAATCTATGATGTACCTTCTACTTATGCATGACCTCTTCTAATCATTACACTACTAGGTTTTCCTACAAATCGCGTCGTTCAATTTCCAGAGCTGGTTTTTCAACCAGAACTCGACGATCGAGCACCATTACCTGTGATCTAGGTCGAAATTTTTTTATGGCCGAGACGTTGAAGAACTGGTTGAATTTGAAGAACAAGTCATGACTAAGTTAGGAATGTACGACTGGTTGATTTTCTCATTTTCTAAGGGCGGGATAATTTTTTTTCAAAGAAATGTGGTCACTTTCGCGGTAAAGCACCTTATACCGAAACATCTAAAATTCGAACTAATTCCCAACAAACAGAGAAACAAAACAAATGAGCGAGTAGAGCAGAAGAAGTGCTCGTAAAAGGAACACCACTCGATATGAAACAATGACGTTTACGAGGAACAATTTTAATTTGAAAATTGCTATGGCTTATCCGTCAGCCAATTCGAAAAGAAAAACGGCAAAGCTTTTTCGGCAACCTAAGAGTGGAATGTTTAGAAGAGGTCATGGGTAAGTATAGGGTATATCACTGGTTGATTTCTCCCCAGGGAAAATAAAGTTACAGCCAGTTGTCGGTTTGGTCAATTTTTGCCGGCGAGACCTCCCATTTTGCTGGCCTGAAATTCGAAAACTCTGAAATAGCGGTGGAAGCGGAACACAGCATTTTGTAGAGCAGACAATTCTCTTTCGAATGATATATAAAACGATGTAAAAGTTTCATGATTTAGATGAAAATTTTTGGTTGAAAAAAAAACGACATCACTTATGAGACAACCTAAGAATGTGATCAAAACTGGTGGAAAAGTTGTGACATCACAGTAGGGCCATTTCGGTGTCATTTTTTTCACTAGTCCTTTAATCAATGTCTTTTGTAAGGGTTACTTACGGTTCTAATGAATATGGAATTCACTTATTCATGAATTATTCCGTTTTGCTGCGAATTTTGGAACGTCAACTCGAAATGCAAAAATTTGTCACCACGAGGAATCGAACTAGGGACCCCCTTTTCTGGTATTCAGAGGGCCGTTCAGGAAAAATGAACCATGGTTCTGTGGTTCCCACATGTGCCCCAATATCATGCAAGAAACCGTTTTGAAAAAGCTTGGCACACCCTGAACGACCTCCCTTGTAAGATGAAAGTCTGTACCAATGAGGTTTTGTCTGCACAACCCTCCTACCCAGTTACAAAAAAGTGGCGGTTTTACTTCACTGGGAGTGGCTGGAAGGGCTCTATCATAAAAAGGTATCCATAATCACCCAGCTCACGCCTGAAGGCGAACAACTCGTTCTTAAGTAAAAAAAAAGTCTGGAATTTTGCAGGGACCATTGCAGGAGACTCTCGAAGACTTTTGGCACATGGTTTATACAGAAAAGTGTAATGTAGTTGTAATGCTATGTTGCTTACGGGAAGGTGAGTCGGGAAGGCTTTTCTCATGGTCCGTTTCACTGAAGGTAGCAACCCCAGGTTATGTTGCTAACGGTAAGATGAGTGCAGCGGTCGATAATGGAAACTTGGATGCCGAACTGACTGAAAATGAGAAAAAAGAACGACCCTCCCTCCCCTTTGAAATGAGGGGAGGCAAGAGCGGGAGGGTTTTCTCTCCTGCTCCACGACTCCACTAACCCGCGGTCGAAGAACTAATTGAAGTCGGCCCTTCTACCGTCTCAGTTTGGTACTCGAGCCTGCGGTTTTCACGCTAAATAGCGGCTTATGGCTACAGTGATCTCAACATTCAAACTGTTGCCACACTGTCATTGGCCCGCCACACCCGAGTCCATCCCCCCAAAGCTTAGTCGTAGGGCTTCCACCTTTCCCATAGGAATTAGGAGCCGAGCCAGGCCCCGTTCTCTGAACGTCTGTGCATTTAAATTAGCCGTTACGCATTGGCTTCGCGATCAATAGGCGGACAGTCCAAAATGGGCACATATCCAACTACTCACGGCTACATTCCTAGGTGCTTCAGCTACACTTCATGTGTTCTCGGGCTCACACATCTTTTCACTTTATTAGCAGTGAAAGTATAGACGAATCTGGGGTTGCTACTTTTAAGGGAATCCCCTTAATCAGACCACTGGAGTAACCCTTTGTGGCTGTAGAATGGACGTCTTTGTGAAGCTTAGCGATTCGTTGTCTACAGTACGCGACAAGGACTCTTAGGTCTTGCCCTACCGCCCGCCGTGCAACAGTTGTGTTCATGCACCCTCTGTCCTGAGAGCTCTTCCGCGTATTCTCTCTTCTCTGCGCGCTATGTATCTCATTCGCCCCACGGCCTGGACTTATAGAAAGTTCGAGCGCGTAATTTATAGTGTTTTCGATGACTTCTTGAGCTTTCTTCCTCACTTTCTGTCCACTCCACACCTTTGCCTCCCTTGTTGAGCGCTCTTACACACCAACTATGTATATCTAGGGCCTGCCTTTGAGTAAATGTTCAATCCATAGAAGCACTTTCCCCTTAACTCTTGACTTCGAACCAAAATAAAGCGTGTTTGTTAGCGTACAACCGCTGAGAAAAGATTTATGAACAAAACATTAGGCACAGTTAGTAGGCAACTCCGAAAACCGTCAATAACTCTTGAAGAATCACTATCGTTTGCGCGCAAAAACACACGAAGCTTTGATGGGAAAACCAAGGCGAAAAATTAGCTGGAAATTCATGGAAACGCTCATTAGTGAAACCCATGTGAATTTTGTATTTCTGCAGGCAACAATGAAAAATGTGTATTATATTACCCAAGGTCCGAAGACGAATGTGGCAAGTATGGAAATTTCAAAGTGTACCTCAAAGAGGTTATCTCCACCTCACACTCCTACAGTGAAACACAGTGTTCTCAGGTTGAAAAATGTTCGCCGACGGTAAGTTCTACTCTAGTTTAAGCCTACTCGTAAAGCTCTAGTGATTTCTCCACGTAAATCTGTCATCGTAGCTGTTCTATTTTGAGCCGTGGACTTCAGAG